TAAAAACTTTCAGCCTGAATGTAATGGCATCAAGTTTATAGGAGCCAGAGATCGTGACCGCCTCTCTCTTCTCTGATAGCGCGCTGGCACGCGTAATACTGCAAGTGCTCGGATGACCTGCCCTTGCGTCACGGAACTGCCTCCGTTGGAAACGCAATACAGACTTTGTCTTTCTGCAATTAAAATTGTGCTATTGTTGATTTTCATAAACACTTTGACATTATCAAGAAGATATGTTTGAAGATAAAATCATGCGATCTTCATGATAATAGTGCAGACGCCTTTATTTTCGTGAGCGTGAAGACAGGTTACGAGTTAGGCTTAAAGGGGCACCATCATATTCACGCACATCCTCCCCCGCGTCCAAGCTTGCGCGCGGCGGGCTTAATCACCGCAGGAGATGCTGTACAAGGATACATTGTAAGGTAAAGTCCTGTTGCAACTTTGGAGCAGAGTTATTCCCTGGACGAGCGTTCATTCTGACCAGATTTTTGAAAGAGTAGTTCCTTAATTACTGTATTATCTCCATACTCTGCGAAGCAGATACACCAAATAATTAATGTGGACCACCTTCTGTCAAACGAAAATTCAAACGCATATTTGGAATTGGAAAAAATATGAAAACACCTGCTCGATTTGCCTCCAAGTTTGTTGTAGGACATGTCTCACATGGCGTGAGAATATGGCCGATTCTGCCACTGAATGCTCCCTTGCCTCCCCTCACCCCACTTACCGCAGCGCCCAAGCCCTCCTGCTTCTATCCCCTCACAGCCTCTGCATGCCTCACTCCCTCGTCCTCGAGCCCCGCCTGACGGCCGGTGTTGCAGGCAAAGTTGGTGATCACATGATGAAGGACGCCCTCCTTGGTGCCGCGATGCCCACCGACGTGTTCTGCTCCGTGCCCGGCCGCCTCTCCCTCCTCTCGTCCAACTCCAAGTACAAAGTGACCGTCTCAGAGCTGCAGCGGCGCCTGTCCCCTCCAGAGTGCCTCAACGCCTCCATCCTGGGCGGCATCCTCCGCAGGTAAGCCGCCCGCTTTCCTGCACCTCAACCACCGCGGCAAGGAGAGGCGGCACCACCGCAGCGTCACCGTAACACCCGTATCAGGGAATCACGTCCGCGCCTCCACACTTTGCCCACCGAGCCTAACACTCGAGCACCTTGGAGGAAGATATCTGGCGGACAAAGCCTGCCGTCACGACACTGAATTTAGCTTGCCATTGCACACTGCTTTTGTGAAATGATGTACTGAACACGAACGCGACTGCACTCCTCTTTCATTCCGTAGTTTGATCTTGTAAAGGGATATTTTGCCAGGGTGGTAGTTTCAAATTATAAGAATGGATCGATGAGGTATCTGTGGATCAAGGGTACTTGCTAATGGTACTAATCAACAACAGCTGTGCAGATTAGATATAGTGACATGTAGTACGGCATGCGCACCACACTGTCTCTCTCCCCAGATGGCAGAGTGACAAATACACGTGTCTTTTACCGCTCTGTGGTCAGTTGAGTGAATAGTCTTGCCTCCTTTCTCGCTCCCTCCTTCCCGCATCCTTGCTGTACCTTCCTCAGCGCCTCTCGTCCCTCTTCCCCCTCCTTCGTGCAGTGCGGGAGCCACTGCCAGTGTTCCAGCTTGATCCTTCTTGTGCATGGACGGGGCCACCAGGTAGCAGCTTTGACCTGGCCTTAGAGCAAATCAGTAAGTGGTAGACTAGTGGCGGCATCCGGCGACCTGCTGGCTGTCGCGCTTGGGTGTGTAGGCAGCCGCGGGTCGGTCTCTCGTGGCTCGCATGCTCGGGTTGGTCGCCTTGTCACCTGTACATTCTTTAGATCGGTTTGTTTGAGATGTTTGGATAGTTTTACGTATTTTGATCATCATTATTATTATTTTCATCATCGTTACTATTATCATTATTATTACCATTATTATTGTTATTATTATCATCATTATATTATTAGTATTATTTTTATTATCGTCATCATTATCAATATTATAATTATTATTGTTGTTATTATTATTATTATTATTATTGTTATGTTATTATTATTATTATTATTATTATTATTGCTTTAATGCAGTCATTACTACTATACTACTCTTATCCTTGTTATCATCATCATCATCATCAGCAGCACCACCACACCACCACCACATCCACCACACCACCACATCCACCACCACCACCACATCCACCACACCACCACATCCACCACACCACCACATCCACCACCACCACCACCACATCCACCACCACCACCACATCCACCACCACCACATCCACCACCACCACACACACCACACCACACATCCACCAACACCACCACCACCACACCACCACACCACACATCCACCACCACCACCACCACCACATCCACACCACCACCACCACCACATCCACCACCACCACCACCACCACCACCACATCCACCACACCACCACATCCACCACCACCACCACCAATCCACCACCACCACCACATCCACCACACACCACATCACCACCACCACCACAATCCACCACCACACACCACCACCACCACATCCACCACCACCACCACATCCACCACACACCACCACCACCACCACCACCACCACCACAACTACCACCACCACCACCACTACTACCACCACCACCACCACCACTACTACTGCACCACCCACCACTACCACCACCACCACCACCACACCACCACCACCACCACACCACCACCACCACCGTCGTCGTCGTCGTCATCGTCATCGTCATCCTCACCACCACCATCAGCAACACCACCACCATTATCACCATCGTCATCATCACCACCATCACTTTGTCATCATCATCACCATCATCGGTATCATCACTATAGCCATATAGTACTATTATTTAGTTATTATTTCCACTAGTTTTATCACTAGTTTTATTTTGTTGCTACTTTTACTGCTGCTACCACTACTACTACGTTGTTTTTATTCCTATCATCATCATCTATACTTATTGCCATCATCATCATCATTGTCATCATTAATCATCATAATCATCACCGCCATTGTCATTATCACCATTTTCATTATTATTGCTATATTTTCTTTTAGCTTTGTAGTTATTGTTATTATTATTATTATTATTATTATTATCATTATCATTGCTGTTGTTGTTATCATTATCATCATCGTTGTTGTTATTATTATCCTCCCAGTCGCCCGAGGCTTTTCATTAAGTTGAGATCTGTGATGTCCTTTGCACTTCAGCGGAGGAGGAGTAAGCGCCTCAACCGATCCCCACAGCTCCTCCCTTTAACCGCCCCTAATAGAAGGACGCCAGCGAGGTGTCTGTAAAAAAGTGGCGATTTTCTCGACTAGTGTTATCTTTTGAGACCCTTTTAAAGTCTAGTGACTGGTGTTGACTGCATGTAGCCCCAGCAGCCGCCTCTGAGCGAGCAGAAGGCGTGGTGGCGTTGTCCCTGGCGCTGAGAGAGAGTGTGGTGTGTTGCAGGGCTCAAGAGTGAGAAGGGCATGGGCCTATCCGGCATGCCCTCAGGCAATGACGTTTTCTGCTCCGTGCCCGGCCGGCTGTCCCTCCTCTCCTCGACCTCCAAGTATAAGGTGACGGTGGCGGAGGTACAGCGCCGCCTCTCCCCGCCCGAGTGCCTCAATGCCTCCCTCCTCGGGGGTGTCCTTCGCAG